GGGCGGGGCAGTGCGCGATGATAAGGTGGACGCTGATGACGACGACAAGATGGACGCTCATGACCGACACCCCCCTTCCCCCGTAGAATCTTAACACGGGCGGTTTCTGGGGTCCGCGGATCCGATTTCCCCCGGAAGCGTGGTACAACAAAGACAGGTCCGCCGTAAAGAATAAGACCGAACACGAATCCAACAAATCCGAAATCGGATCCGCGCGGACGGAAATCGGGTCCACCGAAACAAACACCAAAGCCACATTTGGATCCGCGCGAACTTCATGGGATCCGACGGAGGGTATCTCATACGGGTCTGCTCAAGACTTGAAGCCGTCGTTCCCGGCCCAAGAGGAAAAAACTTTCGTCCTGGGGATGGGCATTTTGGCCTTCGGCCTTGTTGGTTGCCACGTGGCCGACACACCACGACACATCACATCTCACAGGCAGTCCGCTGGGTCAGGAGACGCGGGGTGAAAATCGGACCGCCGTAAAAAATAAGACCGAACACGGACCCAGCAAATCCGAAATCGAATCCGCGCGGACGGAAATCATACCCACCGAAACAAACACCAAAGCCACAAATGGATCCGCGCGAACTTCATGGGATCCGACGGCGGTTATCTCACACGCGTCTGCTCAAGATTAGAAGCCGTCGTTCCCAGCCCAAGAGGAAAGCACTTTCGTCCTGGGGATGTATATGTTCAAAACACTCGGTTTTAAATCCTTACGGAACCGAAGGTTCTGGACGGATCTCGGCATGCGCGCTCAGCGACGCGCGTGTGCGCATTTCGTCCCATTTGTTGCAAGGGATTATTGCGACAACGCGCGCGCAAGGGCGTTCGAGCGATTTCGACATGCGCGCGCGCGAAAGGCCCGCTTGGTAGAAAAATGTAGCAAGTTATGTATGCGAATGTTGGGAAACCGATGGTTTTCTAAAGAGTTCACAAGCTCCAGAGCGCAAGCTTGTTTTGAAAACTCGTGTTGTGAAACCTGTATGTTTTCGATGATTTGGGGACACTCGATTTTCAAATCTGTCGAAACCAACCAGGTTTTTGACAGATTTCGTCACCCCCAGCAATGCATCGCGGGATCCCGGTTTCGGGAGGCACGAATAACAAAACTAACTCGCGAAATGCTCGACCCCGCCCCCAGCCGTGACGAGTGAAAAGTCTGGCCTGGACTAAGTCACCCCCCCGGAGCGAAAGATAACGACTGCGTCGGCGCGCGCGAGGGGGGTCTCACGAGCAATAACAACCACCCCTCAAACATTACACCCAATTTCACAAGCAAATGGAAACTTTGAGTGCTAGCGGAATTGTACCGTGTACTGAGCACTACAACCATATGTATAAACAATAACGCAATAGTCATATGTACGAGCCCATTGATCCGTAATCGCAATACTCTAGTATTGACTGTAGTGGCAGTGCTCTAATATTGTAGGTACCCTCGTGCTGTGATAGTGATAGTAGTAGTAGCAGCAGCAGCAGCAGTAGTAGTAGTAGTAGTAGTAGTGCGAGTAGAAGTAGTAGCAGTAGTAGTAGTAGTAATAATAATAATAATAGTGGTGGTAGTAGTAGTAGTAGTAGTAGTAGTAGTCGTAGTAATAGTAGTAGTAGTAATAATGATACGTAGTAGTAGTAGTAGTAGTAGTAGTAGTAGTAGTAGTAGTAGTAGTAGTAGTAGTAGTAATAGTAGTAGTAATAGTAGTAGTAATAGTAGTAGTAGTCGTAGTAGTAGTAGTAGTTAGTAGTAGTAGTAGTAGTAGTAGTAGTAGTAGTAGTAGTAGTCGTAGTAGTAGTAGTAGTAGTAGTAGTAGTAGTAGTAGTAGTAGTAGTAGTAGTAGTAGTAGTAGTAGTAGTAGTAGTAGTAGTAGTAGTAGTAGTAGTAGAAGTAGTAGTAGAAGTAGTAGTAGTAGTAGTAGTAGTAGTAGTAGTAGTAGTAGTAGTAGTAGTAGTAGTAGTAGTAGTAGTAGTAGGATGAGTAGGATGAGTAGGAGTATTATTATTATTCGTAGTAGGAAGAAGAGTAGTAGTAATAGTAGTAGTAGTAGTAGTAGTAGTAGGAGTAGTAGTCGTAGTAATAGTAGTAGTGGTGTCATAATAGAATCATGGCTGGGGACATATTGTAGGTACTCTAATACTTCAATATTGAAAAACTTTAATGTTGTTGGCAATCTAATACTGTAGTAATGATCGTACTCGAATACTGGCTGGTGCAGTGGTACCCCAAGACTGTAATACTCAATTACGGCAATCGTGCCCTGCATGAGAAAAGAATATAGGTTTGGCCAACGCATAAGCTGTCAACTGCACTGCTCCAGCAATCATCCCACCTTCCCACCCGCAACTTGTTTTGCAAGACCCATGCGGCGACGATCGCGATGACTGTTTTGCCATGGCTGGCACATCTCTGCGGCTGCGCTGGCGCGCGCAAACTCGCGCACAGAGCGGCCACCTGGTTTGGCGCAACCGATGCGGCCACGATGGCGATTACTGATGGCAACGTCCCAGTGCGTGTCAAAGGCCGCGCTGACGCGCGGGCACTTCAATGCGAGTCGGTGGGTCGGGCGGGCGCGGTAATATGACGTCGACACCAGCGGCAACGATGATGATAGTAGCGATGCGTGGTGGTGATGATGACGATGACGACGGCGAGGCAATGACGAGCCGATGCTGATAACGCCGATGGCATGAAGTGACCACGTTTCGACGATGAAGGTGCTTGAGAAATTATGGTGGCACTAGCGGCGATTGCCGGTGGCAATGACGTGATGCGGCGGCGCTAATGAGGACGATGGTGAGGAAGTGCGCGCGCGCGGAAATCCAAGAGCCCTGACAAACTGTTTGTTGAAACAATGTGGTTTTCATACGTGTTGGGAGATCTCTATTTCGAAACGCGTCGAAAACCGGCGCGGCCTCGTGTGGCCCGCATAGACTTCTTTGAAACGGATTCGCGCACTGGGAGCATGCTGGATCAACGCGGGTGCACCGCGTGGTGAGGTGAGAACGCGGGTTCCGGGCGGCGTTGCTCAATTCATATGTTTGTCCTCAAATTTCTGCAAACGCGCGCGGGCAGAACATGTGGAAGAGGGGCTGCGTCTTTATACTGATACGTTGAATTCCTTGCACAACAAGTGTGTTAGGTATGATTTCGACATGTGCGCGCGCGTGTGGGCGCTGTGTCATCTGTTGCAAGGGATTATTGAACCGTGACCTTTGGCTACATACATGTGCGCGCGCATAGTACTATCTGACAGGACTGAGGGGGCGATAGCAAATTTGGCTGGGATGGCATGGTTTCATATGCAGACTGAACGGCGAGGTTGAATCATATGCAGCTTGCGATGTCCCAGGGGGTGCCGATAAGTCTGGGGGGAGAGGGTGGTAGAGTCTAGCGTTCGATTGAAAGGAAAATAAATGCGGTGCAATCTGTGTTGGGATCTACGCGGTGCAACCCTAATCGGGTGCGCACCTACAGGGGTCGCACCTATGGGGTGGGACTGACTCTATAGGGTGGAACCCTATCGGGCGGGACCCCATACAGGGAACCGATGGGATTTTTTTTCAAATTGCAGGCGCCCAAGGCGAATTCAGAGCCACCCAGGGCAGCCATTGCTTGGGAATCGTGAACTTGAACGCGATTCTACAATTGACTCTGGCACTTTTTTCGATCCCATCCCCGTCCAATGTCATATATGTCGCCATGCCGCTGCAATCTTCTCCTGGGCTGTTACTTACCTGGAGAGGCTGTCGCCAAGTGGCCTGGCGACCCCTATCAGACAATCTGTTGTATGATTGAGATCCGATCTGTACATCCTCTCGCGCTGCGAAGAATCATGTGCACTTCGGCGCGGTAACACTGCGGGGCGCGCTGTCGAAACCATGCGCTCGCCGAACGAAGTGTCATCTGCACTCCGGCGCTGTGCAACCCAGGGGATCGAACACCGCCATTTTGGAGGTGGGGCCTCTATGTTGGAGGAGAGAAATATCCGGACCGAGAAGGCTTCCAGAGCAGAGGTCGAACCTCCGTTTCGAAGGCTCTCGCTGCTCTGGGAAGGTCCAGAAAAAAAAAACAAGAAAGAAGAAGAGGACGCACGACAGGCGAGGACTAGAGGCGAGGTTTAGGTCGGGCCTGTCCCCCTACAGGGTGATTGTGGAAGAAAAATAAAGAATAGTCAAACAATGATCAAGCAATTGTCAAACAAATCGTGCCAAGACAATGTTTTGACTATTTTTGAACATTCCCCATGTAGAGGGACAGCCCCGACTTACGGCGAGGTGGAGCGACCGAGGGACGAACGCCGAAGGTGGACGGCCGAGGATACCGCGAGCAGGGGATCTGGGCGGCTGCCTCCAGCGCCGCTTCGTCGCGCCAGGAGCGACGATCTGCGACATGAGGAGGAGGAGGAGGAGGAGGAGGAGGAGGAGGAGGAGGAGGAGGAGGAGGAGGAGGGGGAGGAGGAGGAGGAGGAGGAGGAGGAGGAAGAGGAGGAGGAGGGAGGAGGAGGAGGAGGAGGAGGAGGGGGAGGAGGGGGAGGGAGGAGGGGGAGGAGGTGGAGGAGGGGGAGGGGAAGGGGGAGACAGACAGGTCGCGCGGCCGCCAGCCCGTCAGGACGCGCCTGGTCGCATCGGCATGCGTTCTCCAAGTCCTTCCCTTACGAGGCTGGGTGAACGAGGCCAGATGTGCAGAACACATGAACTGTTTCTCGTGCAGAACCCGCCAACGTGCCACTGGGCGCACGGCTACTCGACTTGACTTGGCCTTGGGAAGGTCCCGAGGGCTTCACTTGTCCCGCGGCAACGAGCGAACTCGCAGGGACGCCCCTGGGTACCGGCAGTTCGCCCCATCCCAGCCCTCAGTGCGTCGAGCTCCTCGGCGAGAGCCTCCTCCCTGGAGCTGTCGTCGTCTCGGAGTGGCTGCCAGCGGTGTCATGCTGAAAGGCCTCCGACCGAGAAGCCGTGCCCGAGCGCCTTGTGCTCGCGAGGACTACGGACGAGCCGCTCAGCGAGAGCCTCCTCCCTGGAGCTGTCGTCGTCTCGGAGTGGCCGCCGGCGGCGTCGGGCCGGGAGGCCTCCGGTCGAGAAGGCGCGCTCGAGCCCTTCCTGCCAGACTCTCCGTATACCGCGGCGGGGCACTCTGGCCCCGCGGTTCAAGGATGGGGCCCTGAGGGATGGGCCCCCAAGAACCAGGAGAGCCCAGAATCGAATCGATAAATCGGATCGGCATTCGACATGAATCGGATCGGCGGAAATCGGCAGCCGAATCGGGAAAGGTCGAATCGGCGGAAATCGGCAGGCTAGTATGCCTCCAATAAGAAATCGGAATCCAAATCGGAAGCCCAAGTCGAATCGAATCGGAATCGGAATCCATCGAAGTCGAATCGAATCGAATCGGAGGAATCGAAACGAGCCCTGCAGAACCGGAAATGGATCACAAGCTGACCCTTCAACTGTGCGAGGCCCTCGTCCGTATAGGGCCCCATCATGGGGAAACCGAAAGGTACCGGTGCCGCTGCTCCCTGGACCTCTCCGGGGGCGCGTTCTGACCAGAACTTCGAGGTCAACCCGGCCGTGGCGACGAGGGCCTCCCAAGAGGCCTAAAAAAGCGAAAACGAAGCAAGGGTAGCGGCATCGGTACCTTTTCCTCCTCTGACATCGTCCTCGCAGATTTCTTGGATCGGCGCTGGAAACCCCTCCCTGGCGCGCAGAGCGCGCCAGTGGCTGCGCCGGAGGCGCCGCCAGGGGGGCCCAGCACCGATCCAAGAAATGCGCGCGGAGGTCTGAAAGCTGACTGAGAAAGACAATTATCGTGTTGGGAGGAAGGGGTTCGGGAAATTCTGGGTACGGCTTTGTATCAAGCACATCCAGCATACGCGATAGCAGTGGACGATCTGCTCAGTCCTTCCAGCCCCATCCTCCGAACCAGGCAATTGTCTGTCCGACTTATGTTTATGAGATGGCTTATTCTTCGATGCTCGTCTGCAAAAAATAATATGGGGACGATTTTTTACTATTCTTGAACATGTTTTTGGCTTTTTTTGACTCTTTTATTTTCGTCGAAAATCCCCCTGCAGGGGGACAGGCCCGACTGAATGCTCGTCCTCAGGGCCCCGCCTTCGAGCCGCCGAGTCTGGGGTTCCGCCGCCCACGCCGCAGTAGCGGCAGATCTGCGACCCGCCGCCCGCGTTGCACCCTGGGCCCGCAAAGGCCAGGCACGTCGGGTCGGAGAAGCACATCGTGTCCTGCAGCCGTCGTGCTGCCAGCAGGATCGCCAGACAAGGAAGGAAGGCCTCACCCTCCACGCTTCTCCTCCCTCCTCCCTCCGCCTCCTCCTTCTTCTCCTCCTCCTCCTCCCCTCCTCCTCCTCCTCCCTCCCTCCTCCTCCTCCTCTCCTCCTCCTCCTCCTCCTCCTCCTCCGCTCCTCCTCCTCCTCCCTCCTCCTCCTCCTCCTCCCCTTCCTCCTCGCCTCCTCCTCCTCATCATCATCTTCCACGGACTCCGTCTCCGCCCACTTCGTCGCCGACTTCCTGGTCCTCTTCGGGGTCGGCGGCACCGGCCGTCGGGCCTTCGCCATAGGGAACAACAAAGGGGCTTTTTTCTGGCGGCTGCGCGCCTCGGCCAAGAACAGGCTCTCCGATCCGGGCCTCAGGAACGGCCCGACAACCAAAACCCTCTTGACCCAAAGGTCGTCTTTCTTTCATCGGGAGCGGCAAAGAGGGGGGCGTCAAAGAGGGGGGGGTGCAAATCATGACCGGCGGCATGTGCGCGGCCCGACGGGGGGGCCAGGGACGTAATGAAATAAGAAGAGGCGCCATGACATCTGGGGAAATATCATGGCCCGCGCCATGATATCCACCCCCCCCTAGTCATCACCCCCCTCTTTTCCGCTCCCGATTTCAGGGTCTTGGCTGCAGAGGATCAAACACCGGTGCAAATATTAGTTCGGCGGTGGACAAACCTCCCTTTAGTAAACCTCCCCATTAGTGAAAACGGCCTGGGACCGAAACCGACGGACCTGGACCCGCAAAAATGACGGCCGCGACGCCCTCTCGCGAACCGAAAACTGCCAACTGCCAATTCCTTAATCGACGTGTCAGGGTAGGAGGTCTATCCACCTCCGATTAGTTTTCGGACCTCCGCGCGGATCTTTTCGATCGGCGCTGGCCCCCCATTGCGGTGCCGCCGGCGGCGCACTCGGCGCGCCCCGCGCGCCAGGGCGGGGGGGGGGGCTGCGGGACGGGAAAATGACCACAGCCACTGCCTCTTGTTTGCGCCGCCTTCCAGCCAGCCGAAAAAGAAGCAGTGGTTGTGGTCATTTCCCTGGTGCCAAGCTCAACGAAAATGACCACAACCACTGCCATTGTTTCTGCGGGCTGGAAGGCGGCAACAAAAGAACAGCCGTGGCTGTGGTCGCTTTCACGCCCCGCAGGGACCGGCGCCGATCCAAGAGAACCGCTCGGAGCTCCGACTATCACAGTGTTCATGCCGTTTTTTGGGCCAAGTGGGGCATCCAAAATGTTGGCGTCGGACTCCCTACGTGTAAAAATACGCGTTCGGGGGGTATCCAACGTATTTCTATGCCACAGGTGGGGCATCCAACATGTGGTCGTTAAACATGTCACGCGCGTGAAAAGTACGCGTGCGGAAAGGATAGCGTTTCCCATGTGTTTGGCGCGGCTTTCACCCGGTAAAGGCTCTGGCCCAGTGTGTGCCCTGGACCTGCCAGAACTGCCGAGGAAAATCCAGCCGTGGCTGGCAACGAGGGCTCTGCAGGACGACCAGCGGCGTCGGTACGGTGAAGGCTTCGGACGAGCAACCCTTGGGCATGAAGTCCAGGGTCCGAAAGCCAGAGGAAGCCTAATCGAGGCTCGGCCGTGGATGTCGCCGCCGCCCTCATCAGATGAGGCACCCTCCAGGGTCTGAAGCCTCCTGGGCACACGCGTCAACCCGCGCCCCCGCCGTACCTCTCCCTCCCCTGGCCTCAACAAACCGATGCTTCTGCCGTTTATATTGTTCCGCCGGGTCCGGCGGACCGCCGCAGCTGTTCGCCGGCGCCTCCGTGCACGCGGGCGCGGCGCCCGCGGGAGCCTCGGCGCTGCCCTTGGCCTCGGCGCGCGAGGCCGTGGGCACCTGGGACAAAAAGGAGAGGGCGGCGCAAGCCCGAGAACTGCACCCGTGCATCTCATGGGCCGCAGAAGGACAAGTTGATAGTATGCGTCCTCCTTGGAGGCGTGCGTCCGACCCGAATCTCTCTCTCTATATATATACACATATACTAGAACCATCGCGCGCGCTTCGCGCGCGCTCGAGTTCTAGCTAGGGTCATGAGCATCGTCACCATTGTCATCCTCATCCCCGTCATCTTCATCGTCACCGTCATGGTCATGGTCACCTTCACCATCACAACAATCCTCCTCCTCCTCCTCCTCCTCCTCCTCCTCCTCCTCCTCCTCTCCTCCCATCCTCCTCCTCCTCCTCCTCCTCTCCTCCTCCTCCTCCTCCTCCTTCCTCCTCCTCCTCCTCCTCCTCCTCCTCCTCCTCCTCCCTCCTCCTCCTCCTCCTCCTCCTCCTCCTCCCCCTCCTTCCTCCTCCTCCTCCTCCTCCTCCTCCTCCTCCTCCTCCTCCTCCTCTCTTCTCCCAACGCACCCAGTACACGGGTGCCTACTGGAACGCGTGCCGGAAGCCTTTTTGGAAGCATTGTGGCAATCTCTGGAGCCTCGGGAGGCGCCAACGCGGTACGCTGCACAAGTATCCTCCGCGGGACACGCACAAGCTTTCGGAGCTCCGCGCGGATTCTTCGGGGCGGCGCCGGAGGCGTCCGCCGGGGGGCTCCAGCGCAGATCCAGGGAGTCCGTGCGGAGCTCCGAAAGCTTGTGCTTACCCATCGGTCGGAAGAAGTGGGCAGAAACGTGACGTGGGGAGGCGCTGAATCTAGAGTGGATCTCCGCCCGCACCCCGAAGACAAAGGAAGAGGGAAAACCACTCGACCCTTGGAAGTAGGAAGAAGCCTACAGTAGATTGGAACCTGGGGATCCAAGAACATCTGCTTTCAACGACCGCTGGGGTACAACCCAGCTTCGAGTTGAGAGAACTGGAAGCTAAGAAAGTGGACTTCACGCTAAGGCTTTTCTGAAGCAGCAGCCCAGGTCCAGATGGATATACGGCAACTGCACGGACACAAACAAGCCGCAAGAAAACGCCCAGGGTCCAGCCAAGACTCTTGACCTCCTGAAGCGACATCTGGAGTCCTTACACCAAAAATAAATGCTTCTTCTTACAGTGTAAGATGGGTGTGTGCCGTTTGATCTTCTCTGGGCACCAGCACGAGCACGAGCGCCCGCAGCCCGGCCGCCATTGTGCCCTCGAAGAGAGGTGGTCTCTGCTGCGCTGGCCGCCGGGAGCCGCCGAGGTGCACTCTTGGCAGTGCCCTCGGCGCCCGCTGGGCGCTGAAGGCCCCGAAGTCTGGACGCCGCAGACCCAGACATACGCGCGTCGTGAAAAAACACGACGAGAGGTTTCTGGCCGCCTCGGTTACACGCAAGAGTGACCCTGGGCAAGAGTGACCTTTGGTGCGCGTCTTTCGGGGGACGCGAGGGGGCCAAACCCAAGCGCGCAGGCCGCTGCTATCGCATCGCAGTCAGCAATCGGGGGTCCCCAGTGGGCCCGCACCAAAGGTTACTCCAGCGAACGGTCGCTCTTACGTGTAGTCGACCGTTTTCAGCCTGTGGGGTCGACTCAGGATGAAAAGCCGGTCCTGGGGAATGGGTCAAGACATCCGCAGGCCCACGTTCTGAAAAGACCAAGACGTCGAATGTATGGGAACCTGTGGCACGAAGTCGAAGCCAGCACCGGGACAACGTCGAACGGGGAGATAAATCGCTGGTCTCTGAGATCTGGCGGTTAGGAAGGATGTATCGGGCGCCGTTCCAGAGCGCGCCGGAACGCTATGAGAGCGTTCCGGAACGCTCTGGAACAATCTATCCCAGTCCTGGCCCCGCGCATCTCACTCCAGGAATTCTCGCCTGGACTCGGGTCCGAGGGGCCCTCGCGGAGCGACCCAGCTCGCGGATCGTGCCGCAGGAGGACGGGGCCGAGGGCCCTGGTCGTGGATCCTCAGACCTCGGACCTCTCCTCGGACCTCCGACGTCGCGATTTCTGCCACACGGGGTCCCCAGAGCTCTGGACCGCTTCCCTGGGACCGGGCTTTCGTCCTGCATCGCCTTGCTGACGGTCATGAAGGGGAACTGGGACGCACGAATCAATAGACACGAATAACCAGATTCCCCAGAGTTTCTCATAGGCTCTTGTCTCCCCCCCCACTTCCCATATTTTCTCACATTCTCTGTGTTGGGGGGTGGAAAGATACGGATACGTGTTGTCCCCGGACCTCTCTTGGGGTGCGTTCTGACCAGAATTTCGAGGCGAATCCAGCGGTGACAACGAGGATTCCCCAGGAGGACCAGGAAAGGCCGAAAACGAAGGGGGACAACACGTATCCGTATCTTTTTCTCCCCAGACTGTGTTTTTCCCCCTCCTGAGGTCACGGGGCCCGGCGAGGGCCCACGAGCAGACGACGGCAGCCCTGGGCCTTGCCTCGGCTCAGCGCGCGAGAGAGCGAGCTCTGGGCTCGCGGCCTCGGACCTCGGGGGGCCGCAGAGCTCGGCCCGAGCGGCTGTCTGGAGGCTGGCCAGCAGGCTACAGTCGAGGCGTTGACCTAAGGAACCCTAAATAAGGAACGAGGCCCCTTCTTTCCATAAGTTAACCTTCGATTTCCTGTCGGAAACCTAAGGAATGATCCACAGGGGGTTGCCTCCACAGGGGGAAGATGATCCTCGATTTAGGTGTTGGTGGCAATACTTCGGCCACCTTGGAAGCCAAAATATTACCACCATCACCGAGATCGGGATCTTCTTCCCTCGGTTGAGGCACACCGCCGAAATTGGTGTTGGTGTCAACCACTAGGCCTGCGACGAGTGGCTGTCTGGAGGCTGGCCAGCAGGCTTGGCGCTGCAGCCGGGAGGAGGGGTCCAGCAGCAGGCGCGCCGGCCGTCGCGAGCCGGGCCTCCGGGCTCGGGCACGGATGGCTGTCTGCAGCTTGGCGCTGCGGGTGGGCGCTGCAGCCGGGGGGAGGGCTACTCCAGATTTCGTAATAAAAGGGAGGGGGTCTCATTTCGGGGGGGGTCTCTTCCAGGCTATCTTGGAGGGCCTGGGGGGGTCTGGGGACGATGTTTTGGAGGGTTCTCCCACGGGGGGGGGTCTAAAACTTCTCGTCTGGGAGGGTTGAGACCCCCTCCCTTTTATTACGAAATCTGGGCTACAGTCGGACTTGGTGGGAGAGGCCAGCAGGCTTGGCGCTGCAGCCGGGAGGAGGGGTACACGTCGGTCGGAAGAAGTAGGTAGAAACATTAAGTAGGAGGGCGGATAGAGTGGATTGGGTCCGGGCCCTCCCAGAGGACAACAGAACACAGCGAAAGCATGCCGATTCTTGGAGTAGGAAGGCGCTTGAAGCAGATTGGGATCTGGGAATCCAACAGTACCTACTTTCAACGACCGGCGTGTACAGTCGGACTTGATGGGAGAGGACGCGCGAGAGGACACAAGACCCTTCCGAAGGTCGCATCGCCACTGGAGTGCAAGGAGACACGCGTCACCCAGACCCCCGACGTCATGATTTTTTCATGACGTCGACCCCCGAGGTCTCGACCCATTCCCCGGGACCGGTTTTTCGTCCTGAGCCGTTTTTTGACGCTCCCGAGGCCCGGTGAGGGCCCCCAAAGGCCAAAAATTATGAAAAACCTCCCGTCGTGATTTTTTCATGACTCGAGGGGGTCTGGGCACGAGGCGCAGGACACAAGGCTGCCCTTGAGCTGGCCGGGTCGACCTCCCGACCTGGGCCGACTGTGCAGCAGCAGGGGAAGGGGGAGGAGGAGGAGGAGGAGGAGGAGGAGGAGGAGGAGGAGGAGGAGGAGGATGAGGAGGAGGAGGAGAAGGGGGAGGAGAAGGAGAAGGGGGAGGAGGGGGAGGAGGAGGAGGAGGAGGAGGAGGAGGAGGAGGAGGAGGAGGAGGAGGAGGAGGAGGGGGAGGAGGAGACCTCCCAATCTGGGGCCGACCGTGCAGCGGCAGGCGCGCACGGTCCGTCGCGAGCCGGGCCTCCGGGCTCGGGGCACCGGCGCACCTCCGGGAGACCGAGCGCTCCTGGGCAGGGTGGGCCCTCGGGCCCCCGTCGGCGATGGGCTGGCGATCGGGGGCCGATGCATTCCCCCTCGGAGCGTTTTCCCCTCTGATCGGGGGCCGATGCAGCATTCCCCCTCGGAGCGTCTTTCCCCCCCGAATCTCGTCCTCTCGGGCTCCCAGCGGCATTGTCCGTTGTCCCCGATGGCATTGTCGGTACTCCCAGTGCCTGCTCGGAGTCCGGATCCGCCCCGCGTTGGGCGATCTCGCAGGCCGGGCGGGACTGTTCGCCCTCCTGGTCGAGCTCCTTTGCCGTCGGTTTCCGTCCTACAGTCGGGGCGTTGACCTAAGGAACCCTAAATAAGGAACGAGGCCCCTCTTTTCCATGAATTACTCTTCGATTTCCCGTCGAAAGCACAAGGAAAACCTGAGGCAAGCTGTGCAACACTTCAGGAACGCGGAGCCCCTCCCCAACGAAAAGGGTTCCTTCTTCAGAGCCCCGACTGTACTCCCGCCGGCTTCCGCGGACATTCCGCCGCCTTCCGCCGGAGAAGAGAACCCATCTCCCCAGACCCCCGACGTCATGATTTTTTCATGACGTCGACCCCCCGAGGTCTCGACCCATTTCCCGGGACCGGTTTTTCGTCCTGAGTCGTTTTTTGACGCTCCCGAGGCCCGGTGAGGGCCCCCAAAGGCCAAAAATAATGAAAAAAAACCCGCCGTGATTTTTTCATAACTCGAGGGGGTCTGGGTCCTTCGATCCTCGGGCGCCCCGCGGGCTCCCGGGAGAGCTCCTGGGCTGCCAGAGGCTGCCGGTGCGCGGTGCGCTGCGGCCACCGTTGCGGACGGGGCCCGGGCCTGGCTCAGACCAGGTGGGCGAGGCGGTGGCCTCGCGAATTTGGCCTGCCTGGATACGTGCAATACGAGACAGGAGAGGAGCAGGAGGAGGAGGAGGAGGAGGAGGAGGAGGAGGAGGAAGAGGAGCAGAAGGAGGAGGAGGAGGAGGAGGAGGAGGAGGAGGAGGAGGAGGAGGAGGAGGAGGAGGAGGAGGAGGAGGAAGGAAGGAGGAGGAGGAGGAGGGGAGGAGGAGGAGGAGGAGGAGGAAGTCCTTGGTGTCGGCGTCGGCGCGGGATGATCGTGTCATCTCGACGTTCGCTGGGCGCTCACCCTACGGGCCCTGGGCTGCCGAAGGCTGGCGGTGTGGTCCCCTGGGGGGCGGCGGGGCCGCGCGGCTCCTGCGCACCAGGCGCGCGGCGAGGCCGACGAGGCCGGAGTGCTCGGCGACCCCGAAGGCCGTGGCGCCGGGCGGGGGCGTGCGGGGCCTCGCGGCCGCCGCCGCCGCCGCCGACGACGACGACGACGACGACGACGACGAGGTAGAGAGGAGGGAGGAGGAGGAGGAGGAGGAGGAGGAGGAGGAGGAGGAGGAGGAGGAGGAGGAGGAGGAGGAGGAGGAGGAGGACGAGGAGTAGGAGGAGGAGGAGGAGGAGGAGGAGGAGGAGGAGGAGGAGGAGGAGGAGGAGGAGGAGGAGGAGGAGGAGGAGGAGGAGGAGTACGGAGGAGGGAGGAGGAGGAGGAGGAGGAGAGGGAGGGATGGAGGGGGCATGGAGGAAGAGAGGGGCAGAAGACGGAGCAGGAGAACAAGCACCCCTTGCTCCTTCCTCGTATGTCCCCCCTTCTCCTAAACCTCCAGAAGCCTCCTCATTTCTCCCCTCCCCCTTCTTCTTCTTCTTCTCTTCTTCCTCTCGTCATCCTCTCCAGACTCCGCCCCCCTCACTCCGCCTCGCCTCCGCCTCCTCTCCGCCTCCGCCTCCGCCTCCTCCTTTTCCTCCTCCTCCTCCTCTTCTCCTTCTACTCCTCCTCCTACCTCCTCCCTCCTCCTCCTCCTCCTTCCTCCCACTCCTCCTCTCCTCCTCCTCCTCTCCTCCTCTCCGCTCCGCCTCCGCCTTTCGCCTCCTCTCCTCCTCCTCTCCTAGCCTCCTCCTCCTCCCTCTAGGGCCTCCATCCTTCCTATCCTCCTCCTCCTCCTCCTCCTCCTCCTCCTCCTCATCCTCCTCCTCTTCTTCCTCTTCCTGCTCCTCCTCCTTCTCCTCCTCCTCCTTCTCCTCCTCCTCCACATCAGTCCTTCCGTCCTCTCCCTCCTCCATCCTCTCCCCTCTCTCCTCCCCTGGTCCGCGGACCCTTCCCGAGATCCAAACGCACCAATATTCCTAGCTGCGTCCAGCCGTTGCGACGAGGGACCTCCCGAAGGCGAACTGCTGTTGTCTGAGCTGGCCCTCCTCCGAACTTCTGCCATGGTGCCAAAAAGTAAAGGTCTGTCGGCCTATGCAAACAAAATCGGCATAAACATCACATTTCTTGCATCTACGCTCCGCGCGCCACGGGCGGCGCCGGAGGCGCCGCGAATGGGGGGGGGGGGCGATCCAAGGAATCTGCACGGAGCTCCGAGAGTTTGTGCTTATGCCGGTTTTCCTTCTTCGACTGTCCCAGGGCAGAGTTGGGGGGGGGGGGGATCCAAGGAATCTGCACGGCGCTCCGAGAATTTGTGCTCATGCCGTTTTTATCTTCTTTCCCACTGTCCCAGGCGGAGTTGGGGGCGGCGCATGCGACGGCGGCGCGCGGTTCCAGGGGTGGGCGCAGACTGGGGTGAGAGCGAGAGGAGGAGGAAGGAGGAGGAGGAATGGATGAGGAGGAGTAGGAGGAGATGAGGATGAGTAGGAGGAGGAGGAGGAAGGAGGGAGAGGAGGAGGAGGAGGAGAGGAGTAGGAAACGGAGTGGGGGGAGGAGGAGAGGGAGGAGGAGGAGGAGGAGGAGGAGTAGCAGAGTTGTGT